GACAGATATTAACTAAACTTATCATAATCATTTTATAATGTGTATGTCAAATCACTATGTTGTACACCTGAAGCTAATATAATATTCTATGTCAACTATATATATTTTTTTTTAAAGATTTTATTTATTTATTCATGAGAGACAGAGAGAGAGAAAGAGGCAGAGGGAGAAGCAGGCTCCCCGCGGAGCAGGGAGCCCGATGCACCAGGACCCTGGGATCATGACCAGAGCTGAAGACATGCTTAACCGACTGAGCCACCCAGTTGCCCCTAAGGTATCTGTTTATAATACATTTTAAATGTTGCCTTTTTTTCCTAGTAATCATGTAATTTAGGAGAAATACCTTTAGGAAAACAATGCACCACTGATAATAATCCTATCGTACAGTGATAGGATTTTTTGGTTGGTGGGCCATTCTGGGGGAGGATGGTTAAATGGCATGATATACTGCACTGTAATTTGAGAAGAGAGGGGCAAACCTAGAGCAATACCATTTTAGTTAAATAAACTAGGCAGCAGCTCCCTCTTGTGCTGAAAGGTAAGTATCACAGCCACTGATTTAAGAGGGAAAAGCATCCCTTAATACACATAAAACTTGCTTAAACGAAGAGCTGCTCCCAAGTATTTTAAGTCTAAGAAAAGCACAGTGCTTAGTAACTCATTTTAACCAGAACACCCACTGCCAATAAGATTTTTTTTAAAATTTATTTATTCATGAGAGACAGAGAGAGAGAGAGGCAGAGGGAGAAGCAGGCTCCCAAGGACAGGGAGCCCGATGCGGGACTCGATCCCAGGACCCTGAGATCATGACCTGAGCCGAAGGCAGACGCCCAACCATCTGAGCCACCCAGGCGCCCTCAAATTTTTTTTTTAAAGATTTTATTTATTTATTTGACAGAGAGAGATACAGAGAGAGGGAACACAAGCAGGGGGAGTGGGAGGGGGAGAAACGGGGCCCCCGCTGAGCAGGGAGCCCGATGCGGGACTCGATCCCAGGACTCTGGGACCATGACCTGAGCCGAAGGCAGACGCTTAACCATCTGAGCCACCCAGGCGCCCCAAGATTTAATTAATTCTTCAGACACTGACTGAGCACTTACTGTGTGGCAGTTACTAGGGACGCTAGGCTGATCACACAGTTGCTGCTCCCAAATTGCTCACAAACGCTTGTCCACTGAGATGCCACCTTTCTCATAATGCTTTTTCTGCTTCCCTGTCAACTATGCCCCCTGTCTCCTCTGAACTTCCCCCTGGCACCCTAAGATTGGGTCTTCTCGTGCCTCTCCCCTCTTCTTCCGGTTATCAGGCAGCTTCTTGTCTCATCATCCTACTGGATTGGAACAGCTTTGAGGGCAGCAGACACATCTGATCCGCTCAGTTTTCCCACAGCCCCTCATTCTGCATTTGTCCAGTTGGTGTCCAAACACGTATTTGTTCAACCGAATCTAATTCAACCAAATCAGAAAGCAATAAAGCTCCACAGCTAATGAAAAGCAGGTTCCAACGGAGAACTGTATTTTGGCTGCTCCGTACACATAACTCTCAAAAACGGAGATGTAGTCATTGTTTGGTTGCTGCCAAAACGCAGGTTGAATTCCTCTAATCATTTTTCTGTGCTAGAAGGATGCAAAGGGAAAATAAGACTTATTTTATCCTAGAATCTGTGATGTCAGCAAGGGTGCTCCATACCTTCCCGTCGTCACGACAGGATGCTGGACTGCACAGGTGTTCCCTGTGGGCACTATGTCAGGTCCCCGAATGCCTGCTCTGGCCAAGCCACCTGGGGTGGACAATGTTCGAAAGCAGTGGTTCCCAGACTTTGGGATTTCACATAAAACGTATTTTTAAAATCTTTTTTCAGGGACTGACAGGCGTTGCCAATATCATATTTTACTGTAAATAGTTTTTTATTTTTTATTAATTTTTAATTTTATTTTTTAAAGATTTTATTTGAGAGAGAGAGAGAGAGTACAGAGGAGAGGGAGCAGCAGACTCCCTGATGAGTAGGAAGCCCGACACAGGGCTCGATCCCAGGACCCTGGGATCCTGACCTGAGACAAGGCCAAGGCTTAACCCACTGAGCCACCCAGGCGCCCCTGTGAAGTTTTTTAAATCATCATTCGAGATCTTCATTTTATGAAAAAAATTAATTTTAACGCCAAGAAGTAAGAAAGTCATAATCTCTGAAGAATCTTTTTTAAGATTCCAAAGTAATCTCTGTACCCAATGTGGGGCTCGAACTCACAACCCCAAGATCAAGCATCGCACACTCTGCTGACTGGGCCAGCCAGGCCCAGAATTCTTTTTCTATTGACTACATTTAGTCATCTGGACCACACCCTTGGATCAAGGAATTGGAGAAAGTGGAGTGTGCCCGAAGGCACACCCCTGACCCTCACCCTCTGCCCCCCCTTTTCCTCCACTGGATTCCAGAGCTTCTTTTCATTTGCTAATTCTCTCACTGGGGGTTGCCTTGTATGTGAGAATGATCAAGAAATCGCCTCCTGGGGAACAGGAGCTAGAATGGAAACCAGCTGATGCCAAAACCCCAGGGCAACGGCGGGCAGAAGATGGGTGTCAGGTATGCGCCCTTCTGTGCACCCCCTACTTTCTCTCCACGTCCAAGTGTGTGGTCTGGTTGGCGGGCAGCAGGGGAGTTCGTGGGAGGGCCTTGTACAGGTGAAGGGGAGGACCGGGAAAGAGAGAGAAAGGAGGTGACCCCACTTTGGGGAGTGGCATTTCTCTCCTGACCATGAGGTAAACAGCACAGAGTAAGAGCTTGCAGCTGCCTCATGCTTTGCTTTCTCAAAAGCCTTTCACATAGCTTCTCCCAGATCACCACCACACAGCCAAGCCGGCTGATTTCAGGAAGGGGCTGAAGTTGGCCTTCTCTCCCTCCCACTCCAGGACTCAGATTAGAGAAGGAAAGGTGCTCAGTGGCTGCTCTCAGACAGAGCCTAAGGGGATGCTTGCACATGCGTGTGTCTGTGTGTGTGTGTGTGTGTGTGTACAGGAGCCTAGCCCACATTGAAGGCCTGGGGGCAGCAGTAGGAAAGAAACCCATTGGGAAGTGCTAAAGAACTTTAAATAGCTTGCATCCCTCCCGGCACTCCTTCAATCACCCTACACACACCACCCTCTCCCCAAGAGAGACGTCCCTCTGTGAGGGTATCAGAGGGGCTGACGGCCCCACGCCCCACCAAGACTGAGAGGCCAGCCCTCCCAGGGCCCTGCTCCTGAAAAAAATGACAGCCTAGGTGCTCACATTAGTCATGGCTCTGCAGTGTCTGGGGAGAGCCCCGCCACAAAGGGCAGGTGTCCCTCGGACTCAGGACTAAGGCCTTGGAGCAGTTGCACCTCCTGAGTGGCCCACAGAAGCCCCTCCGCAGTGTCCACTCCTTCCCACAGCCTGAGGCTTTGCAAACATGTATGGCCTAGTGTGGCCATGGCTCATCTCCCTGCTTTTCTCACCATCTTTTCTCACACAACAGGAGAGAGAAAGCTCTTCAATCACCGTTGAGCTGGAAAAAACAGGTGAAGAAAAAGACCTGCTAGTCTTCTCTGAGCACTCCGGGTGAATAACTTGTGCTGAGAAACGTCAGGTTCCAGATGGACAACAGCCAGACCTTGGTCTCAGGTACCAGCCACCACCCTCCCACCTTCATAGCATTGAAAATGCAACTCATCACCTTGACCCTTAGCTTTCCAATCTCCTCTTCATTCTTCCCCCGCATAGGGATGGTTCTGTCATTAATTTCTTAAGCAAACCTCCAGGCCCTGAAATGGAGGGGGGTCCTCATTTGTTCCTCAGCAAGACCTCTTAGTCCCCTTTCCCTCCTATTTCCCCAGACCCCTCCATCCCTTCCACCACCTCCCTCCCCCTCATGCTGGTCCTCTTCCCCTTCTCCAAAGACCAGCCTCGAAACAGCACCAGGGACTAGCGGGGAGAAAAGCACCAGGGCAACAATTTCCAGGAAGTAAACCCTTCGTGGCCTGAGTTGTAACATTTTATCATTTAACTTCCTGTGATGCAGTGCTCTTAAACAAGAGTTGCCAGGTAAATTAGAGAAACCGTATGTGCCGCTTTGTCTGGGACAGCATGGACGCGCTGGCGGTCCCGGTGGGATGACTAACAGCACTCCAGTGTTCGACCTCACAAACTTATAACGTCTCTTCCACTTTAATTTCAATTCCCATGACAGCCTTATGCAAGGAGATTTTATTATCTTCATTGTGCAGACAAAACAATTTTCAGAAGAAATAAGTAAGTAACCTAATTCCTAATAAGGAAGCGAGGAACCAGCAGCACCAGGATTCACGGGCAGGTCTGGCCAACTCAAAGCCCTTCTTGGCACAAAGCTCCCCTTTAAGAGGGAGGCTGTGGAGCTGGTACAAACGGAGGTCCCCAACTTCCATAGGGGCTTACCCCCTTGACTCGTCATGGTCCCTTCAGGACTTGGAATCAAAATTGTGCACAAGCTTCTTCTCCAAGCAATGGATTCTGCCCACCCACCCCTCAAATTTAGCTGAAAGAGATGAAGGATTTCCACTAACCTCACAGGGAAAACCCAGCTGGGGTGTGGGAAGACTGTTCATACCTTAAAAGGACATGCTTCTCTAACCGGGTGATGGGGCTTACGGAGGGCACTTGCGATGCGCACCGGGTGTTGTACGGAAGCGCTGAATCACTAAATTCTACACTTGAAACTGTTACACCGTATGTTAACTAACTGGAATTTAAATACAAATTTTTTAAAAAGGACATGCTTCCTGTGGTGACACAGAGGTACCAAGAGGAAGGGTGAGAGAGGGTGTTAGAGGCAACAATGAGACGGGGAGAACAGCTGTCTGTCCTTCAGTCCTAACATGGCAGTTTGGCTGCTCAAGAAAGAGGACAGGGAAGGGTCCACCTCTGGCCATGCTTGTAACTACAGTAATCTTATTCACACGGCACACCTAGAATATGAACTTGTTTGGTTTTTTTTTTAAGATTTTATTTATTTATTTGACAGAGAGATAGAGAGCACAAGTAGGCAGAGCAGCAGGCAGAGGGAGAGGGAGAAGCAGGCTCTCCACTGAGCAGGGAGCCTGACGTGGGGCTTGATCCCAGGACCCTGGGATCATGACCCGAGCCGAAGGCAGCCGCTTAACCAACTGAGCCACCCAGGCGCCCCTAGAATATGCACTTGTTATGTGGCAGGCAAAACTAGACATTCCCTAAACTTGATGGCGAGCTAGACAGAGGTGGCTCTACCCTCCTGGACTTAGGGTCTACTGGGGAATCAGGCGAGTCGCCTGGGGAGGGGGCAGACCAGTTTACTCACCTGGCCCAGCCTGCCTTCGCTCCCTTCTTTGCCTATAATGGCGTGTGTCCTGGCCTCCTCGGGACCGGAGTTCTAGCCCGGGAAGGTCCTGCACTGGCTGGGTGGGCAGCAAGAGGCAGAGAGCTCCCGCGGGGCAGAGACGCCCTTGAGCCTGAAGTGTGGCCTCTGATCAGTACATGCCCACTGATCAAGCTGAAGTGTGCCTGGAGCACCAGTCTCAGCCTGGCCTCTTGCCGCACACCTCACTCTATGCTTCAGCATCCCCAAGAGCTGGGCAGTCTTTGTGACAATTTTAACACATGGGAAACTGAGCCCTGGGTCACTGAAGTGACCGTCTACGTGGCACAGGCAGACCTTGCTCCAGGTGTGGGAGCTGGGATGTGAACCTGGCGGTCTGGCTCTCGCTGAACCCAGGCCCAGGAGGGAGGCTCTGTGAGGGGCCAAGGCGGCACGCTCCTGGGGCTGGAGAGCAGAGACAGCAAACACTGAAGGGTATTTACCATGGGTGGGAGCCATCCTAGGCTCCCAGCATATAGAGTCAGTTAAGTACCACCACAACCCCATGAGTTGGGGTTTCATGGATGACAAACAGGGGGAAGCTAGAGAACTTATCCAAGTGACACAATGAGCAAGTGGCAGATAGGTCAGGGCTTCTATGTCAGCGCTTCCTGACTTCTAACGTGTGTATGAATCACCTGCGGAGTCCTGTTAAACTGCGGGTTCAGACTCAGTACATCTGGGGCTGGGCCCCAAACTCTGCTGGGGTCCCATGGGATGCCGGCGCTGCTGGTCCAAGGGTCATGCTTTAAGTAACAAGGCCTTATGCTATCTCACCTCCTAGTAGTTCAGCTGGTTTATTCTCAACTAAGCATTTCCAAATGACTCCATGTGTTAGCAGTTATCATTGTAGCCAATTTCCATTGAGCTTATTCTGTACCAGGATCTGCATTAAGAACTTTCCATTAAATGAAGTAGGATACAATTAATGTCCCCATCTTATACACGAGGAAACTGAGGCCCAGAAAGTTTAAAGAACTTGCTCACGGTCACAGAGCTGGGCCCACTTGTTCTTGCAAGGTGCCTGCAAAGCAGAGAAGTGGAAGCATTGTTAGCTCCTGTTGTCTGTGGACAAGACCCAGGTGGAGAGTGTTCAGTGTTGTAAAGCAAGGCCTAGAATCCGTCTGGTTCTCCTAACAAAAAAGTCCACTGCCCCTTCCACCTGCCCCTTCCTTAACCTCAAATGAGTGATTCCGCTAAGAGATGTCTTCCCTCAGACACAGCTGAAGGAGTCC